TATAGGCGAAAATGTATCTCTGACCACAAATGAGAATGACTTCAGGAATTTTTTTTCTATTCAAGTCAAAGCGAAAAAAAATACATGGAAGCATGTAAGAACATGTAAGCTTTCTTCTGGTATACGTCTGAGACAAGGTTGAGGGGGAGCCAGATTTACGATCTTATCCGGCGCATTTCCTAATTCATGTAAATATCCAAATGAAAAATAGACAGTTAACGCATCATAAATCATTGGCGATATGCTTTCTAAGTAGAATGGGAATTAAATAAATAAGAAAAGAATAAGAAAGCTTTTTTATTATGACAAGAAATCGTTATGGGAGAAGAAATATCTTCGTGTTTATTTATCCGAATTAATAATTCACCAAATGAACGTGATAAAACAAGTAACGAACGATTAGTATTTGAAAACTGACCCATCACAGCTGATCCATTTATCTAAACAGAAGAATTGAGAAAATTATATGTGATCCACATCCTAAAAGTTCAACTTACAACTCCAATTAGTGATGTACCCATTTTAAAATCTCTTATCTGTTCGGCCAATTCGATAGCAACTCGTCTAAAATAGAGAGAACCAAATAATCAGATAACAGACGAGAAACAACAGTTATGTCATACTTTTGGGCTTCTTTAGTATTAGCACCTAGATGAGGTGTTGCGATCACATTTTCATGTTTAATCAGTGTGAAGTCTTTTGGAGGTTCCTTTACAAAAATAACAAAGAACATTGATATACGAATTTCGTCGATTTGATAGGCAATACCTCTTCGAATACATCCAGCGCCACACCTCCACATTGACTGGTTTTAAGTGCTTCAAGTAGTGCTTTTTAATCAACAATGACACCACGAGCTACATTGACGATCCGAACACCTATTTTACATTTTGACAATGATTCAGCATTAATAAGATCTAAAGAAAACAAACATAAGAAAAAAAATAACCATAACAGTTATTACTTCACTATTTACGTTTTGTTTCATTCATTACGGGTACGTGTATTGTGATATAATCGGCTATCGGCCATATCTGATCAAATGACAAAAATTCCACACCAAAAGTGACACTCTGTTCAGCAGTGATTATTGGATTATAACCGACTGTCTTGATAGATGAAACAAAGAAAACTACTATTGTGGAATCGATTAATAAGATACGTATTACAGTGACAACAGTACACAAACACTAGAAGAGACACAGCTACTTCCTTATACACAAATAATTTTAAAATAATTTTCTATCTGGTATTTAAAACAATCTTTTACACAAATTCTAACCATGGACTGGCTGTTCTCATATTTTCGAAAGTATGCATACCAGAAAAAAAAGCAAATAACACGTTATAGTACTAGGGGAAAAGTCGAGTATTTTTCGTGGACTTGAAACGTCACTAAGTGGTAAGCAACATTAAAAAGCAAGTATTAAACCAAGCAATAGAATATGTTAGCGAAAGAAAAGTTCTAATAACAAATTGGAAAAATTGGAAAGAATGAACATAGGTAGTAAAACAAAACAACAACAGAGCATGTGATGTGCATGTTATAGTAATACTACACTAATCTTACTTCCAATTAAAGAGTATTATGTCGCTATAAATGGATAGTTCAAAGTCTTATGAATTTAAAAAATATAAATAATTCTGGTTGAGTCTAACCTTCATCGAGAATGACTGCATACATTTTTGCTACTTCGCGTCAAATTCGTCCCAGACCGATAATAGCTAATGTTTTTTCATTCAGCTCTTCTCCTATGAATTTACTTCGCTCCCATACACCCGATTTGATTGATGTACATGCAGCTGGTATACTTCTATAATTCGTTATTTTATACTTCAATAGAATGAAGACATTGGATCTATTAGTTACCTGGATAATGAACATATCAATCCGCAAGTATGTTCAGCAGCACTTAATGTATTTGCTCCAGGTGTACTAAAGAAATCTAGCAATTGGTAAATATTTTCTAATTGTTTTAATGACTGCTTACTTCATGACTAAAACTCCACGTTTTGTGGCTGAATCAGTATCAATATTATCTGTACCAGTACCAGCACGTCCAATTAATTTCAAATGTGGACTATTTTCGATTATTTTTTGTGACTTTCGTTGCACTTCTTACAATTAATATATCAACATTCTGTAAAGAAAGAAATTTGTAAATGAAGAAGAGTAGACATATATGCTATGATTACCTTCATTTTTTCGATTAATTGTTCACTATTCTTAGCTGATGATAGATCGTTCTCAATATTAAATCCAATAGACTGCAGTATATCAACACATTGTTGATCAACATCATCTGTTATCAACACATTCGACATATCACTATACGTTTCCATTTTAAAATGATCTACACTATATAAAGTCGAATTGCATGAACAAGTCGCATATTTTTTAATAACGCTAGAACAATAGAGACACAATCTACAAAACTAAGCATATTAACAGAAAACTTTTTATTAAAAACTAATTATGTGTACAAAACAATAGGGATAAAAAAATTACTGTGAAAAGACGTTATATTCAAAGTGCTTGTGCTTCGCTGTTCCACTTTTATTTTGTTGTTCTTATTCAATAGCATTTAATGCTTTTAATGTTGCTTCTGGAATTAGTGATGCAATGGAATATATTCAACTCACACATTTCAGTCAAAAAAGAAATTCTCTATCTCGTTCTGTCTATGAAAGTTGAGTTCGTCCGAAAAGGCTGAATAGAATGACCAAAAAATTGAACTATACGTGCTTGAATAATCGAATGCTCTTCCTCAAATATTCATTTCTTATGGGTTAGCTTTCTCTAAGTGAATATTGGAATTTATTTCAACATGTTCATAAAAAATCTACATAGTACAATATATAGATGAGTAAATTCATATGAAACATACCATCATTACATCGACTGTCGTCGCAAACCTTTAGATGAACTTCATTTTGTAGAGCTGAGCCTGACTGTGCAAACCGCCGGTCCGCGGGTGATGCCCGTAAACAGTTATAAGGACTTTACTGTATTGGACTGGATTCTGCCTGACTTCTAACGGTTTACTCTATTTCCTAAGACAAATTCTCGTGAGCGATTCCAAATGAGAGAGTGTCTCAAATACTATATATTTTGATGGAGAAAAACAGTGGCTCGAGGAAGATGTTTGAGCTATGGGTCTCTGAAAACTAGTGGTATTTCTGAATATGTTCTCTGTATTGTACATGTCAAATTAGATGAAAATAATCTTGTATAGGTTATTTTTGATACTGAATTCGACTATCAGATTTACAGAATCTATTTCTGCTTTGTTGAGATGTGAAACTCGAATGTATGCCTAGAGTTTCTCATTTTATATAGAACTTTTATCGTTTTTGACACGTGAGAGGCATATTACAATGAAGAAATCACAATGGTACGTGAGCGCTATTTAAAGTTGATGACTAACAGCCGCAAAAATAGACCTTCGAATATTTTGAAATGTACAAATGAACAATCAAAGCTTTAGTTTTTTAATCTGTAAATAAAAAACAGAATGAAAAATATGAAGATGAACCTGAATAAAATGACGACTGGAACGGACTGAACATATTTTGGAATTTAGAAAAGAAAATGAATATCTATAAAGAACAGAAGAAAAGAATAACTGCCATTTCTCGAAAAAATACCAAATTCTATCGCATCACTAATTGTGACGAGAACATTCTAGGCTACCTATTTATGGAAATCAATAGATTTGTATTTTAGCTTTTTGGCCTATGTCCTGATTTTTCCAAGATTTCCTCGAAAGCCTCCTCTTCAGAAAAGCGTTTCCAAATTGGTGTTCCTTATGAAAAGATGTCACCAAGTCTCCTCTGTTGAATGGCAAAAATCGCGGCTCATTAGCCCTTTTGTTATTCAAAAAATATTCGGGTCCACGGTTTTTTTTACAAACCATCGTAACATAGCCTTTATTATTTCTATGCTGATACATCAGTTTTTTTACTAGGCTAGTTCAGATTGTTCTGTACCTGGACCACCTAAAAATAGTGCACACAAAACAATACTGCATCGTTTGCAGGCTATATTTCAAAATGTGGATGAACAGTCCGTCAATTTTCGGATCTATCAACAAAATGGTCTGCTGATCTACTCATACATTCATTTTTAGAATGCCGTTTTACTGTTGTGAAACGAACCTAGAAAAACAAGAAAATTTTGAAAGTTACTATTTCAAAAGATGTTAAGAATATCATTCACAATAGCCGTTATCGACCGAATGCTGTGGTTTCATTCTGTACTTATTTCATTGTAGAGTAAATGATCAACACTTAAGCGCTTCCTCGTGATTCATCAAATAATCTAAATCGAAAATATACAAAATTATTTTTTTTGTTGTCCCCGCTTCTTGCAGAGCTGAAGTAAAATATTTCTGTTGTGTAGCACTTGTGATAAAGTCCTCAAAGAAACAAAGAATGTGTTAGAATGAAATACCTACCACATGTATGAATAGAGTAAATTACATGGAAAAGGTCTATTTCCCATGTATAACAAGAATTCACACTGTATACCTTAAAGTCCCAGAAAAAATTTTCAAGAAAGGCTAAAAACACATTTACAGCGTTGGCTTATTCTTGTGATACATAGTGGAAAGCCGTAGTAGCAACTATCAGGTAGCGAGTGTGCCAAGGACTTTACAAATCTCTCATAACTGATGTAGTATATGTAGGTTTAATCTGTGCCTTGTTTAAAATGAATCGTAATAATTTGATTTCTGAATGCTCTCTTGAAGAATATTAAGTGCTTTCGTGAAATAAGAGTACGATATTTTAAGCCTTTCTGCAGAAATAAAGTTTATTGCCTATGTTAAAAAAGTAAAAGTGATAAAAACGTTTTTAAAAAAAAACGTAAAAATGTCTCTTCGTTCATCTTTATTATGTGTAATCTAAATAGTAAAAAAACGTTTACACTTTTCATCTCTTGTTAAAGTATGAAATTTAACTTTCATTCGTTGTTGATATTGCAACCCAATATTATTAACGACCTCTTTACAGTAATTTTCCTTCTGTTCTGGGTTAGTGCTTATCCAGCAGATGCTTAGATAATCCAAATAATTCCTAATTCTCTGTTCCACTTCATCGTGCTAAAATAGTTGTAAGAGAGTACGGAATAATGATAACATTGTTTAGACGGTTACATAACTTTTCTCTTCACATCGGGCAGACCTTTACTTTCAATGACTTTCTTATTATTCAATCGAGTTTCTATTGGTACCTTAGTCTACTTCTACTATCCGTTCGAAAATATATTACACTCCATTGTTTTTCGAGTAACTTATGAACAAAAAAGGTGCAACATCCTTTTAAAACGGCAGTTTTGTAGAGAAAACATTTCTCTACGAGATAGTGTATACAGAAGGTATTTTAGAGATTTTTTGTTTGCTTTTAGAAAGCGTTTTCCTCAAATCTACTGTCGGTTATAACCACGGTTTTTAACTGATACGCCTCTTTATCAAAAACGCTTTTTAAAGAAACCAAAACACTTTAAAATTAACTACTATATACCATCTTGTAGAGAAATGTTTTCTCTACAAAACTGCCCTTTTAAAAGGATGTTGCAACCCGTTTTTACGAAAATACAAACCATTTATTGTGAATTTATGAAAAATACGAAAAAAAATCGATGTACTCCTAGTAGAAACTGTGAAAATTAGCACGTTCTCATACTTCAACGTATCACGAAAAAACTTAAGTCTAAGTTTAAGACCGACGTAAGTCCGGGGACTTAAACCGTATCACCAAAACGACTTAACTTGGTGATTTGTTTACTTTTTAAAAGTCGTTGACAACAGTGACAAACTTCGGATAAAAACTCGCAAAATAACGAAATATGTATTCTCTAATCCTGAGGATGTCGTTTTCGTCGAATCGTATCGTTAAACAGTGGCGTAGCCAGGATTTTCTTAAGGAGGGGGCCTAACATTTTTTCCACCAAATCGACATAACTTTTTATTTCTAAAATTATCCTTTTACTCTATGCTTAAAGCATAGAGTAAAAGGTTCAGAGATCTCTTTACGCATTTCGTCCATTTTCTGATACCTGATATTTTATTCTATTCGTTCGAGTGCAAGTTAACTTTCGAGGAGGGGGGGCCTGTGCCCTCTAGGCCCCTCCCTTGGCTACGCCACTGTCGTTAAATGCCTGTTTTATTCAAAAAATGCGTCAATGACTTAAGTCCGACTTAAGTTTTCGGTCTAAACTTTAAGACTACATTTCCCATGACTTAAGTTTTTTTTGTGATACGACCCCCTGCTCTCAATAGATATGAAAAGTAACGGAAAAACGTTTATCTACTTCCAAATCTGTACTTTCTTTTGGGTTTTCACTTACCCAGGTAATTGAATCGTACCATACAAGATCGTATACGAATCGTACGAAATCATATACGATTATGTACGATCTACATACGAATCGTGGTACCTAATTTGTCGTCTGGTCCGTACTGTACGATTTCATACGAAGTTGTATGATCGTATATGATCTTGTACGATCCTATTATACGGTCCAGAGGACAAATCAGATACCACGATTCATATATGATTTTCATACGATTTGGTACGATTTTGTCTGATTCAGATACGATCATAGTACGATTCTTTGACCTGGGTAGCTTTCTGTTGAAAAGGCGCATCGAACATATAATATATATATATATATATATGTTGTAGCCCAAATTGGAATTCAGTCAAATCTTAGATTTGCCTAGCCAAAACTAAGATGCCACTTTTACCCTAGTCGACTCTCTCTCTTAAAGTCCCCGAGGACTTCCCGAAAAATGCATAATTCCCGTAATCAGCACGGTAATGATAAAGGTAATGATAAAACATTCATAATGATGGTAATGGTAATGGTAAAAAGAAATTTCTATGGATGATAATGGTACGGTAAATGGTAGCGAAAAAGTCATGGTAATAGGACTGTACTCCGTACTCGTCCAGCACTGGAACAAAATTAGTTACATCACTATTTTATTTGATCATTTTCAAATCACATATAAAAGAATTGCATATGGGCATATTTACACGGATAGATAAGAATAGGAAGAAAAAAACTCAATTTCCAATCCTTTGAATAACCCAATCTGTTTGACATAACGGGCATTGTGGTCGTTGTTTTAACCCTATAAAAATAGAGTGTGTCATTTCAATGATTATAAAAACAAGCAATTATTTTTACTTACATTCCGACATACAACAGTTATGAAACGAATGATTGCAATCGCCCCAAACCACAACACATTCATCTAATTTATTCAATGATTGACAACGTAAACAAGATTCACTCAATGGTGTACGACAGATAGCACAAACATCATGGGTAGTAACATCCCATGACCATATTCCTAAATTAAAATAACAAAATAGTTGTTACGTATAAATCAGTTTTCACGCTAATACCAATGAGATTCCATCGCTTTAGTGTAAATGGACCAGCAGATGAGGATGCTGGAGAAATTTGAGACTGATCAGACGGTGTTCCAGACGACATAATGTAATAATGTTAGTCTGAAAGTAAAGAAAGTTGAGCACACTACGAAACTATGCTCTTGTAATATATGTTACAAGAATTGTAGATAAAGTATCCAAATATCAAATATCATATAAGCTGCACAGTATGAAAGAGTACTCACTTTTTTACCCTTTATTAAATGATGGCTAGATTTTCTATAATCTATTTTTTTGCATCGTGATTTTTAAACATTTACTTCTAGCATTATAATGTATATTATTATTATTTACATAGTATGCTATACAGTGCAATTAAATATCTTCGAAAGACTAATATAAACAAGTTACTCAAAATAACAAACAGCGGAAAGAGTCGCATACATTCTGCATACAACTGTAACCGAGATAAATAACAGGTATACATTTTAATAACAATAAAAAATGACATATAAAATTGATTTAAACAAAATTAACAAGAAGAGAGTTAATAAACTTTTTGTAAATTATTACTCAGAAAAAAAAGAAACGAAAACAAAACAAATAACATAACACCATTTTCTGGAATAAGAAAAGAGATTTTCTTGTAACACCAAAACAGGAATAATAAAGAATCGTCATAATTTTGCTTGTCATACCGAATCGTTATATCGAGACTAACGAAATGTCTGAGGCGTCGATTCGAGAGGAAAAACGTTTTGTGTACCAGCGAGCTACAGATAAAACAAACATAAAAATGAATGAGTTTGAAGTTCATATAATTGATGTGAATAGCGTTAGCGCTTTCTTCAAATGTAGGAAAAAAAAGTTTATGTCTTCGCAGGAGATGAAGGTACACTAAATGGATTATGTAGAGATTAATACTATTTTTTTATCAAGTTTTATGATTGAACAGCTGTTTAGTTTATAAAAATTTCTATTAAGGAAGTATGAGATTATGTTATATTATATAATGTGAAAAAAAATGGTTAATCTTGTTGAAAGTGAAAAATAGCAGCAATTAGAGTTAGTATAGCAATTCATCCAGAAACTACAAGTCATTCTATAGTGCCAGTGTTGCCACAAGGGAATCTCCTTAAATCTATAATTTTTTTTCTGATAGATCGTGTAAAACTGAAACCTGGAGAAATTGAAAACTAACTTTAAAAAAATCAGTTTATAGATAATATCAAGTTATATGTATCGTCAAAGTAAGCAGTTTTCATAGAGTTATAAACGTTTCAATCTAAAAGATCTCTATTCTTAAATAAACTATACATTTTTATAAATTATATGAAAACTTGTATCAGTTCTAATACTGTATCAACACATATACATTGATAGTCTTCACAAATTGATCCTGCTTTCAATGTTAGTGATAAGAATATTGTGATAAGAGATGTTGAATATAAATAACAATACGAAAAATTAAAAGAAGAATAATCACTACATTGGATAAAAAACAGCAAAAACAAGCAACAAGCAGCATTTATCATACTAAATTGAGTATTTATGCACATATAATCGATATACCTCTCTATTGACCACTAAAGAGAAGAAAAATAATTAGAAAAATAAATTTACAAATGAAGAACAGTAGCACCATTTTAGTAATTAAGCTGAGTAACATGTGAATAAAATAGATATTTTTTTAGTTCTGTTAGTATATCATCTGCCGTTTATGACAATAAATTTGAAAGGAATCTTGCTCACTGAATGATGAATTATATTGTGTATAAATATGACAGTACGGTGAAAGAGTAGACGACAGTTATTGATAATTTTAATAATAAAAAGAATAAAATAACCATCAGATGTAGTATGAAACGAATCTGTAGTAGAAAGTACATGCAACGGCCTTTTTTATGATCCGCCGATCATTGTTTAAACCAAATTCAATTTCTGCTATATTCGCTTCTTCAATACATTTAAGACATTCTAATTTCATTACCCTCAATCGCTTTTATACCATCCACTATATATTCAAGATATTCGATCATCTGTGTTTGCTAGAATAATAATAATAATTAAAACTGTTCTTTTTTCAAGAATAAAATTGTTTAGATTAAAAATGACCTGATTTTGCATCGTCTGAATTTTATTTTCAAGTGCTTTCATACGATGTGATGTGATGTCGTGCGATGTAGAACTGAAAACCAAAAACAACGTTGACTTCATGACATGATTTAATATTTTTTTTTTTTATTAATTTATGCTTACATTCTATCTTCTTCGATCTCGGTAGGATCCGGTTTTCGATGAGTTTTAAAATATACTTCATCACCTAGTGCATCTTCGATACCTTAGATTAACATTTTCTATTAATCATCGATAAATTTAGATAATAACAGTCTTAACGAACCTTCAATAAGCGTTGCAGTTTTTTCTTTCAAACGAATTTCTAAAATAGAAAAAATATTAATCATTATATGTATGTATATTTTTTTTATAAATGTACTAAATTTTGTTTGATCAACATGTTTTTCATATAATTCTTTGAATTGTTTTGGATTAGTTTTTGATAAAATATATATACCAAATCGCCATAAATGTGAAAAAATGATTAATGGAGGTGGTAAAGAGGGTCGTGTCAAATATTCATAAACCAATGAAAATCGTTGAAATTTCCATATACGATCGGTGTCTGTTTGTAAACGATCAAATGTATTGCTAAAAGAAGATTAATTATTCTTTATGATATGATTCAAAATAACAAAATCATACCTAAACATAGCTATCAATAAATTGACCAAAAGTACACTAGCAATAGCCATATAAGCAGATAATAATACGAATACAGTGTAGCCTGTTGCTTTATAACTATCTAAATGAATAGTGATATATAATTTTATGATTAATTCACAATATTATGCTGTTATTTTTTAGTTGTTACCTTCAAATTCGTCTAAAATTTTTAATTCGCCAAATATTTGCCAGTAAGCAATATGAAATACTTTTCGAGGTAAATGCCATGAGAATGGTTGTACACCATAAATAAGTCCATAACTTGATACTCCAAAAGCCAATATAAATACTGTTAACATCATAACAAAAAATTTTAAATCATGTACCTAAATAGAAAAGGTAAATGTAATTTTATTTATTCTTTTTTTATAAATTAATTTTATACCATTTCGCTGATCATCACTAATTTTGGTCCTAATCTTTTAACAGCCGCAAATATATCTAACGTTCTCATGTACCAAATACTAAGATCAATAGAAAGAACAATTCGAGCTGCATTAAAACATCCTTCAACGGGTATAAGACGTAGAATAAAACCAATAAAAAATAATGTTATAACGAGTACATCAAGTTTATTCCATATCTCAGATAAATAAGTGAAAATTCTTCCACGAATTGTTTGAGCCTCCATTGTACACAACTGAAAACATAAAAATAATAGGAAAATTACGTTTTTTTCTTCTCCTAATTTACATTCTATACTTGTCGTATTTCTTCACATAAGAGTGTAAATATCCAAAAAACAAGTAATATTTCAGGTGGTTGTATACCATAATGCATTTTTGATGTAGACTGTTTTGTAATCTTATTGGTGTAAAGTAATGCATTTTCACTCGATTTTATTTTATCAGCCTCATATTCATTGTCGTTGTCGAGATTAGCCGATTGACAAGAAATTTCATCATCAAATTGACGTATTGGAAAAAAATCACATAACATGATATAACTGAATAACATTAAAAATACAACATGAAAATACTAAATTGAAAGAAAAAATATCATTCACAATTAGTTCGAGCTCTTTTCTCTTGCAAACTACCAACGAGTTAAAAAAAAGTAGTATTAACAGAATCAATGCAATATGTGAATTATCTTATGAATAATAAATAATTAATGAATTCAACCTACCAAATTGTATAAATACTTGACATAGGGCGCTCTCATAAATTGTAATATATTGGAAAAATAGCGAGTAATTTTACTTTCAATCCTAAAATTAATAACAACAATATTAAGAGTAACTCAATAAATCGTAATTAAATTGCATTTTAAAAAAATCCTATTAAACTCCCAAAGCAAAAGAACAATACCGACGTTAGTTTTGTCGAAAGAATCATAAATGCTTTGGAACGTAAATAAGACCAAATTAAAATCAATGAGTTTGAACAGCAAAAACAAATCTAATTATTTCATAGGAGTTAGTTAGGCAATGAGACAAACAACTACAATATTAGTGTAATAGTTAGATAATAACAGACAGTGCTAGTATCAACTTAATTAGTCAACTCTCAAAAGCCTACATTAAGATTAGGAATACACCGATTCTTGAGCCGTACTTTTAACCATTTTATTGAGCAGGCTACATAAAACGTTCTAGTTGAAAATACAATTAGAATTGTTGAGTCTCCTATGAAAACTCTTTTTTCTACTTGAGAAAGTATCTCTAGCTGATAAACGTCTCTTTCTGTTGAAAAACGTTGGATCCATCGTACGAACACCAACTTCTGACCCTTATTTTTTACTCAGGAAAACCTTCACATTTCAGATTCAAACTTTTATTGTCACTCTTCTAAGATAAGCCATGCATTTTGTGAACATTTCATCAAGATCGGATATACTGGGACGAAAATTTGTTTCTGACAGACAGAGCCTTCAAGAAAAAGGTGGAAAACTATCGTTTGAGAACCGGTGCGTCCCTAATCAAAATCAGTCAGACAATGTTATTGGCTTAGCATTATGTTAATGTTGATTATTAGTATAAATATAATTTTTTTCTTAATTGTTACAAATGTATAAGAAACAAAAGCGAACCATCATCTTTTCCAGTCTAGCATAGATTATTTCATCCTTGTGAAGAATATACAAACTAGAATTAGTTAGAAAATTAGTATGTAGAACTAAGCAAAGCAGAACACTATTGATTTATGATTAAAGTATATTTTTTCTTAATCTCCTAATCGGTCCTACATTTTCTCAACGTTGAAATCCAAAATTCCTGTAGGATAAGCACGAAATTCTTCAATATAATCACCTTGTTCATCCTTTGGTCGAGCCATTTTTGAACTACGGAAAAAAATAAATCAGATAAATAACCAAAACTGTTTAGTCATGATACAAATAATATTTCTAAACGGCTAGAAAAGAAAAATGAAATAGTGAGAATTATTCAAATAAATAATCCATAGTTCAACAGTGTTTTTCACAATTTATAAGTTAAATTCAACTCTCCCTTTGTACGTTTCTCAACTATGATTGATTCTTTATATCCAGATGAACGTTTTTCCGTTATTTTTCACATCTATTAACAACAGAAGTTGAAGTATGAGAACGTGTACATTTTCACAGTTTCTACTACACTTTAGTGTTCGAAGTGAAAGCTGTGTGGCCTCAGAGAAAAAGAAGACAAGGACTAAAAGAATGAATTTTGTTTGTAAATTGGAAGAGAATAACTGTTTGTAAGACATGTGAGACGTTGAATATTATTCTCCTACTTTCATATTTTAAAAACTAAAATAAGCAATGTGAGTACTATTTTAAACTCACTCTAAGACATTCGAAAAATAATGATAGAAAAAAAGATTAAAATACCTATCGATAATTTGGTTTGATTTATTTTTATGTGATAATGAGGATCGTAAATGATTTTCCTGAAAGATAAAACAGTATTTTCTGTAATGTGATTGTCTTCTTACAGTTGATAAACGAACTTCTTTTTTATGCAGTAATACATTTGGTCTATTGGAATCAACTTTTACACGTTCATCATGATATTTTAAAAATCCACTAAACCATAACATAAACGATGCAAAAATAATGGTGATATCATCACATTTTTGAACATCAATATAACCGTACCTATCATAGAAATGAATAGATAAAACTCTACCGAACAGATTCAATATAGATTTACTATTTCCCCAAAACGAGAAAAACGTCTAACCAAATATTATTCAGTGCATCTTGAACAGCTTTGTGTGAAATAAATAATTTGGTTTTCGCACACACAGCCATCTGTAACCATGTAGAATTGCCAAATGACGGAATTTGTCTAATCATTGCGGTGGCACACTCTTTTGGATTATGTTTATAAAAGAGATCAAGAATATCTACGGCTAATTGTTCAAATTCATCAGCATATGTCTTAAACTTTTCATCTAATTCCTTTTTAGCCTTTTCTTTATAAAATCTGACGGCCAGTAATGCAGCACCTACCAAAGACGAGATAATAAAAGTTAACTAGTCAACACTCGATCATGTACAATACTAACTCACATATTTTATTTTTTGAACGTGACCAAAATAACAAAGCAAATTCGTGTTTTCCTGATAACACTGACCATATAAATAATTCCTTATCAATATCCATATACTTTGTACTATTCACTGATACTAAAACAAAAAAACTCACATGTATTTATAAAAGTTTCAACATTAAAACTTATTCTAACATTTACCACTTGGTCTTAAATCAGTTGGTCTCTTACCAGTTTCGTCAAGGTAATATTTGTCAGAGTATGATTTTATAGAACATTTAGCATATTCATTACTATCAGAATTTTCGTGATCGTATGTAGATGAACTTAAAACAGCTTCGATCTCAAAAAAGTCACCAATTTGAGGCTTCAAATATTGAGAATAAATTGTACGCAATGGATCATTTGTCTGAGTACTTATCTGATTATCCTATCAAACGCAAAAGTGTTTTTATATTCAAGTTTAATCAAAGTTCATTGATAAGCATACTAGTTTTATATATAAATTTAATAGATTAGAATTATCATGAAATAAGTCAGTTAATGAAAAATCATGATCAAGAAATAATTGAACAAATTCTGTTTGATTTCGTTCAAGTGCGATTGAAAATAAGGTATTTAAATTAGTTTTCTAGAAAAAAAGTAAAAAAAACAAGTCAAATTTAAGATATTCAATTGAAAAACTTACCGACCAATCTTGCCCGTCTGTCATAATATGGTTTTTTGCTATATCAACTCGATCCCATTCCAATGCCAATTGTAATTGTTCAAGTTTATGTTCAACGTGTTCTTTTCCAGAATCCAAGGCACTTGTTGCTAAATAACAAAGAAAATGAGTTTTTAACTGGTACTCAAACTGAACATACCGTTTAATAATGCTTGTAATATAGCCAAATCGATATCTGGTTCACGAGGACTACGCAGATTTAAACTTATGATGTTCAAAAATTGAAAACGCTGATCAACACATTCATAAATTAATTCAAAATAATCTAGAAAATTTGAAGAAAATGTAATTATGAATAATCAAGGAACAAGAGAGTATAATACTTTTTTCTTGTTCAGTAAGACTTTTGAAAGGATGCGGGTGATAGCGCTCGATAGCTAGTTTCCTTAGCTACTTTCTAGAAATAAAAATTTGTTCAAAGCATGTAGTACTGTCCATGAAAAGTCGACTCTAGCCGCCGAGTGTCCAGTTTTTCGAAAAATGAAAATATATTTTCAGAACGTATATGCGTA